AAAAAAACAGAGTTGGATAGGAAGGAGTTTAGGATTTATTAGTGCAGACAGCTCCTTTACCTTCCTGTCAATATACCAACTAAATTGAATAAAATGTTGATTAATGGCTCCAAACTAATTAAAACTTCTGGATGAACTAAATAAATGGTTTTGTGTTTGCGTTGTAGTCTACTTTCTTAATTGTCAGAGTGTCAGATAAGCAGCTGGGGTAAGAAGGCAGACAGAGAGGAAGAATCTGGAAACCAACCTGTAATAAAAACAGAGCGATCCCAAGGTCAAAGCCTTCCGTCCCTGTGACGTTTTGGGACATAGCTTTTTTTTTTTTCGCTCACACTCATTCCCAGTGAGCCAAGAAGGAAATATTTGCTGTGTTTGTGTCTCTGTGCTGTTGGGTAACTCCTGGAAGAGCACATTCCTGTCAGTAAGTGTTGTTCTTTCCCACACACGCTGGCTCTAATCGATGCACGTCTGGTTCTCCTCAAACCGCTTACTCCTGCTGCACACTGTCCTCGTTTCCAGACTTCCCAACATCGATAGCTTTTACACACAAACACACACTCGCTATCAGACAGTGAGGTTCTGTTTTACGACAGCACACTGGTAACTTTGGTAAATGTTTTATGAATGGGCTTTGTCAAGTGCGTTATGCACCTGGCCTTGGTTTAAAGGGGAGGGTTTGTCCAATGTCTGCTGATATGTGTGAGTGTGTGTGTGTGTGTGGAGAACAGGGTGCGTTTTCCTCTAATCGGTAATCATTCCTCTGGCCTGCACCTAACGTTAAACGGGACACAGATCAGTTGGGGTCTCGGATTTATTATTTTTTTTTGTCGTTTTTCCTTCAGCTAAATGATGGAATTGCTTGTTTATCTGTTTTCAGAATAAACCCTGGAGCAGGTTGAAGAGCATGGTTCACTGGTCTCCTTTAGCCTTCACCCTCAAGAGGCGTCATTCATGGGTGCAGCTAGCTGGCCATGCAGGTATGCATATCTATCATACTACTCTTCTAGATATGGAAGATAAGATTAATACCTCCATCATAACTGTTGGGTAAACAAATCTGAAGCCAGCAGAAGGTCATTTCAGCCTGGGTAAGAAAAAAAGGCAGAAAATAGGACAAGCAGCTCACCTGTCTGTGTCTAAAGGTGACTCTGTCACCACCAGCTGATCTGCAGCTGATTTTATGATCTTTTAAAAAAACTTTTTTTTTTTTAAAGATCAACAGACCTGTACAGACCTTTATATGTCAAATTGCTCCTTTTAATTAATGTTTTATCTGTCAAAGGCAACTTCCTGGCCAGAGACGGAGGCCGCCTGTTGAAGCGATACTGCGAGTGTGAGCAGCAGTGTCTGGAGAAGCTGATGCAGGACATTCTGCATCCCTACGTGCCTGGGTATTACGGCGTGGTGCAGAAGGATGACCAGGAATATAACCTGATGGACGACCTGCTGGTCGACTTTGACTCGCCTTCAATCATGGACTGCAAGATGGGCAGCAGGTGAGAAAATAGAAATATTAAGAATAAAAATAAGATTGATACATTTTCACATTTTTATACATTTTTCATTTCAGTGTTTTTGAAAAGCCTTTAGAAAAACCTCATTATATTCAAACTTGATTTTCTGATTATTCTCATGTGTTAAAATGGCCCACACCTGAATTCAAGTGATAATCTATGGCAGGAATTGGCACAGACTAACACTTGGTTTATCTAAAAAGAACAGACTAAAATGTCCGTCTCTAAATGTGTAATACTCACAGAGGTATAGTGCAAATGATTGCAACTGAAGGAGGCTCCACAAGGTAATGAATGAGGGGCAGAATGCAATCGGCTGCCAGGGAATTAAAGTGAAGTAAAATGCATTAAAACCACTGCAAAGTGTGTGTCTGTAGATTAGAAAAATATTAAATAAAAGCTGTGATACTGAGACAAAAATAAAATAAGCTAATTTCAATGACTACACCTGTATATTTCAGGACGTATTTGGAGGAGGAGCTGATGAAAGCAAGAGAGCGCCCCCGTCTGCGAAAAGACATGTATGAGAAAATGATTTCTGTGGACCCCGGTGCCCCCACCGCAGAGGAGCGGGCTCAGGAGGGCGTCCTGAAACCTCGGTACATGCAGTGGAGAGAGACGCTGAGCTCCACCGCTACGCTCGGCTTCCGCATAGAAGGCATTAAGGTCTGCGCTCTCTCTGAACATCTATTGCTTTTAACATGTCTGACTGCTGACGTCAGGGTTACTCAGGGGTGAGCAAGAAATACAGCCGCATGTTTTCATGAGAGGTAAACACAAAAGAGCGGGAGTGGATTTCTTCTTGACGAGATGAAAAAAACCCTCCTGTTTAGACACCATTTTATAAAGGACTCTTTGTTCTTTGGAGAAATAAATCTGAGGCAGCTTATCAAAGTGGAAAAAAATGTTTATTTGAATCCCTCAAAATAAAAATAACTTTTTTTGTACTAGTTTAAGAAGTATCTACAGCCAACTTATCATAGGTCAAAGTCATATTTACCTGTTGCTGCTTTTTAAGTAGCTTTTTAGTGCTGACAGATCAAGCAAATAAGATGAAACCTTAACTGGGTTTGCTGCTGTGAGGTCAACATCTAGGTTAACCCTCCTGCATAGATTTATGAATAGATCAGGTCAATCAAACAAGGCAACACGATGGCTGTTAGTTGATAACAAGAACTGTGCAGGAGAAAGATGGATCTATTTTCATAGTTTTATTACGAGTTGGTAAATTTTTTTTTTTACTTTCTTGGCAACAGGTCTTAAAGTTTACATAGTTCTGTTCTTAAAAAGGTCTCAAATGTAACGTGGTCAAATTTAAACAATTGTACGAGAGAAGGGAGCAAAAATTAAGTAGTTTTTGTCTTTTTTAACAGAAAGGTGATGGAACGTGTAACACCAACTTTAAGAAGACGAAGCAAAGAGAGCAGGTGATGAAAGCCTTGGAAGACTTTGTTGACGGCAACGTTCAGATCCTGGTATGTGGCCAAATGAATCTGGAGTTATTCAATAAAATCAATTAATAAATTATCACAAATACTACTTTGAAGAAAACTGACTTGTGCTGTCAGATGTTCAAACATGAAAATACTTCTTTTAGCTCTGCTTCGGAAGCTGTGGAGGTTTAAAAAAAATGTTTAAATACTTCAAAAAGTTCTTAAATGTGTCACCTCTTCACTACTATTTAGTGTATATAAAGTACCTACATTTGACCAATAATAGCTATTCTAAATATTAATGATAGCACACATAATTATCTCTCTATTGAATTTGTTTAAGAACAGCCTGAGTGTATATCAGTGAGCCTTGTGCTAGTGGGCGGGGCTTTAACTACTTCAGGCACTTTGTGTGGTTTGTTGAGGAGATTAGCCAATCAAACGATGGTATTCATTTAAATGAAATAAGAGCAGCAAAAAAAAAAAAAAATCTACATCCACAGAGCTTAATCTAAAGGAAGTATGATTTAAAGCTGAAAATTCCAGTGACTCCATCTCACAGTGAGGTCTGCAACCTACTGGACCTTTGTCTTTCCACAACCTACTTCAAGTTTAGTAGTAATTTTTACAGACCAAAGCATGGTTGTGCCATGGAATCTCCTGTGTCACCAATTCTAGCCAACCTTTACATGGACATTTGGAAAAAAGGTCTTCAAACTTGGAAACAAAGTCCAGTAGATTTTTTTTATTTTTTTATTACCTTTTTGTAATCTCACTGTGAATTAACTAAACATAAAACTAACGTGTTTTTACTGCAAAACCTCCGTTTTTATTTAACGTTCCATACATAATTTATTTTTTGACACATTCAGAAAATTGTAAAACCAATTTATTTATTAAATGGGTGTATTTGTAATTTATTCTATGCTGGTTTAATATTTACGAAAGAGGATTAGGGTCAGTATATTAGAAAAAAGTCAGAATTCTGACTTTAATCTCAGAATTCTGACTTTAATCTCAGAATTCTGACTTTAATCTCAGAATTCTGGCTGAATTCTGACAGCTAACAAACATGTTAGCGTCAAGCCGTTGCCATATCTGTTTTAAAGACTGAACTAGCTCTCTTGTTTTAATCACCTTCTGCTCCTCCATTAATGAAATAGTATCACTGGGGACCCCTCGGGCACGTAAAAAGTCACCTAATCCCGTTATTTTCCATCAATGTGTTACTGGCCCTCTCAGACAACTCACGTCTTTGTCAGTGAAGCCGAGTGCCCCCACATCTCTTCCTTTATAGTGCCCATCTATATTAAGATCCAAAATTCTGAGATTAAAGTCAGAATTCTGAGATTAAAGTCAGAATTCTGAGATTAAAGTCAGAATTCTGAGATTAAAGTCCGAATTCTGAGATTAAAGTCAGAATTCTGAGATTAAAGTCCGAATTCTGAGATTAAAGTCAGAATTCTGAGGAAAAAGTCAGAATTTACTTTAATCTCAGAATTCGGACTTTTTTCTCAAAATATGCTGAAATAAATTTAAAAAATGTATTTAAAAATTTAAACACTTTTTTTTTCTTTTTTTCAGTGGCCCAATCCTCTTCCGTAAATATTTTAAGGCATATTTCTCACTCAATATAAACCATTAAATTAGGAAGTGCCATGTCTAATTATTGTCTTAAGGAACTAGTCTGAACAAGTAGCACTTTGGCATGAAAAAGGCCAACTGCAATGATCTGTTCCCAGTAGTTGGGTTTGCATTGCTCCTGCCCTCTGGCTTCATGCTAACCTTTAAAGACTGCTTGTTGGTTCATGTTTACGGTCATAACATTATTAATACTGAGGTGTTTATTGAAAGAATATATAGCTTCAGATTTAGTCTAACAAGAAAAATGATTCATTTCCTGTTTTTTGGATTCACAGTCTGGTTTGCCCTGTCTTTTGTTTTTGGTAGAAACTTTACCTGCAGCGGCTGAAAGAACTGTGCTCTGTCCTTGAGAAGTCGCACTTCTTCAAGACGCATGAGGTGGGATAAATGTTCCTTTTCTTCTGTTATCCCTGCTGCATTATAATCACACCTCAGCTCATCTGTGTGACCGGCTCTCCGTCTTAGGTTGTGGGCAGCTCTCTTCTCTTCGTGCACGACGCATCTGGGAAGGCCAGCATCTGGATGATTGACTTCGGAAAGACTGTTCCCCTGCCCCCCTCTATGATGTTGGACCACAGGACTCCCTGGGTGGAGGGCAACAGGGAAGATGGCTACCTGTGGGGAATGGACAACCTCATCGACATCTTGAGCAGCATGATTCCTCAGACACCTTGTGAAGAGGATAAAAACTCACAGGAGGCGTGATGTGAATGGGTTCCAGTTAAATCTTTTTTTTTTTTTCCATTATCAAACTTGTTAATCCACTCATGTTAATGAAAAGGAGAGCAGGACAAAGTGGAAAATGCCTAAAGGCTTTTGATTTGCATTATAATAAACTTTAGGGTTTTGTGAGGGGGGGTGACCTCAGCATGAGCAAAAGGTTGAGGAATGTACAAGACTATAAATCTAACTTTTCTCCCATTGGCTTCCTTCAAACTAATCAAAGCTTTGATATTTACACACACTAGTGTTCATCTTGTCAACAGTGCCCTCTCCTGGATGCTGTTGCTAACAGCAACTCGTCTTACATCCATGAACTTGATCTTGGAGAGCTTGAATTGCATAGGAAAGATTTTTTTGTTTTATTTTATTTTTTTTAGTGATGTACCATTTTTGATGTATAAGCACACAGTAACACTAAACCACTGGCGAGACCAAGTGTTAACTAACTCAGTATGTAAATAGTCTTAATTTAATCTCCCATTTTTTTGGCCTTGGGATATCCTTCTTAATATTTGTAAAGTTGCTGTGCCTAACTTGTTTTTATAACTGATCATTCCAGTCTAAGGGTCTTTCTCTCTCTCCAAAGAGTTCATCCAAGTATAAACTAACTTGCATCTAATCTCTCGCCTTTCTTACAAACTGTGTTCCTTTGTAGTTTTTGTATGATGCAATGCAGTGCTTGTTAATTTTCACTCTTTCCCTCTTTTTTTAATATACAGTAAGCAGCTTGACAAAGCTATGATTCTTTGGAAATTGTTGCACTGTGGATCCTCTAAAAGCAATCGAACAAAAAGGAGCAGTGCCTCTGTGTGATGCACTTGGTTTACAGTTTAACTCCAGTTGGATTTTCTCTTACCAGCTTTTTGCTTTGGGGGTTTTATAGAAAAATGGTTGCATGAAAGGTGAAATGTAGCTGAAAATGAATGTGTGAGCTTTTTAAAAACTTTACAAGAACAAAGACTTGGAATATATTAGTCCAGCTAAGGTTAAAGTTGAGCCAAGATGACTTTTAGACATGAGGATAATTGCTGTAAGTCATATTTGGTTACACTAAACTGTAGCATTCAGCACAGTTTACAAGGAAACAATGCTGTAGGTTACCATAGCAGTGCTACTGATTTGTCTCTTCCTAACTGGGTTCTGGATATGGACCAGCATCCTGCAGCTTCCTTATGTTGCTGTGCAATTCTTTAACTTGGAACATTTACTTGGGTACAGCATAAATCTGATATAAAGAAAGTGAAAATAAATTAAACAAATGCATTTTTTTTTTTTTTATCTCCAAACCGTTGTCATATCAGTTGGAAATGGAGTATTAATGTTTACAAAGTATTATCAGCCCACATGTTCTCTGTAATGTGTGGAATTCGTTAGGTTCTCAAACTAGGTGCTGCTTTCCAAGAAAGAAAACTGGATATGAACCTTTGTTCTTTATAAAAGCAGTATGTTAAACAAAGACTGTTTGAAATTGCTCATTAACCCCTTGCTCTGTCCTTGTTATGGATTGCAATAAACTGAAAATAAGAGCCTTAATAATTTGCCTTTTTTTTTTATCAAAGCTCAAGACAAGGATTAAATGCATGAGAGCATTTTTTTATGCAAAATCAAACTCAAATATTCCCAAATCTATCAATTAGTGGATAAAAAGAACCAGGCTGGACCAAACTGCCAAAATTCATACATGTTTAATATTTGACAAAGTAAGCTTGTGACTGTATAAAATCAGAAAACATTTACTTCTGTCAGTGGGCAGGGCCAAAATTGTTTATAGAAAAAGTGACGAGTCTGCAGTTGGTTGTTAAATTTATTGCACAGGAAATGACATGAAAATGTCTTTTATATAAATATTTTTAGATGTATCAAATACATGATTTTATTTCTACCTATTTCATGTATTTATTACAGCTTTAACTATTGTAATATTTGTAAAAAGATGTCCTTTTGTGTTGTGACACTTTGCGCTCTCTCCAATAAAGTTGTCGACTCTAATGTGGCATCTTGACTGTTGAGGATGAACCTGATCAGAATCACTTTCCTTTCTGCTCCTGAGTCTTTGTGTGGAGAAGAACTGCCTGTCCTGCCAGCCCGGCCTCCACTCCTCCCTCAGGAACCACGTACTGCTTCCCATCCTTGGCTCTCAGAGGGTCTATTTCCCTCAGCTGCCTGTTGCTCTGGGCAACACTGTCCAGACTCCACAGCTGGTAGCGAAGGCTCTTACCCTGCTTGGCAAGGATGTAAACCTCTGTGGCGCTTGTGCTGTTGATGGGACAAGGAAGATTGCTGTTGGTGGCGAGGTAGAGCCAAGGCAGAGTGGGATCCGGCTGATTATGTTCAACTTTTACAGTCCCCTGGTCTAAACCGAGGAGCACCCCTGCAATCAATGGACAAGTTCTGTGTTTCTGGATCAAGAGAGTAGAGATTCATCAAGATAAAGAGGTAGTTTAAACACCAAAATGAACAAATGCTTGTTTATTCTCAAAGAAAAACAGTTTAAACCTAAATTACCTGAAAAGCAATTCCAAACTGTAAAGAAAGAAGTTACATAAAAATAATAAATCTGCTAAACTACCGGTTCATACCCGAAGCAACGGCCCAATGCGCTCTGTGACCGCTACGCTGGCATGGCTCATGGTTGAAGTCCTCGTCATATCTGAGCATGCCGTCAAGGAGCTGCATATTGCAGGTAAAACCATAAACATCAATGTATATGTGGAGTTTGATCGACTGCAGGATACGGGATGAGAACAGGCTGTCTGCAACAGAGGTGTCTGATGATGGCCTCAGCGTTTCTGCCACTCAAACCTCCTGACAGCAGTTCAGCCTTACAGACACAGACCTCTTCTGCCAACAGGGCCATGTTAAACGCTGGTAAAATTAAAAGCTCAATAATTGACAACAGGCAGCAACACATTGCATCATCATGGTCAGATTCTTGTAAACAAAAGAAAACTAAGTTAAGCTACTGCATACAAACATTTCAGGGAAACATTTTCAATATATTTGATATATCAATATTCATCACCATAGGAAAGGCTTATATCGGTTAATTTATTTTTCCTAGTTCCTGTAGACGAAGAAACTAAGACCAAATACTGTAGACATGTTCACTCTGTATAGAAGAAAGTGTTTACACCTCTTTAAATTGTTTATGTTTTGTCACATACTGTATTTCGGTGCATTCTTCAGTTTTCTCACTTCATCACGATCCTTAATGCTTATTTTTCTTATTGGGTCAGTTCATTTTTTTTTTCCTATTTATCGAGTTTTGTTCTGAGAAGAAGTGGTGACTAGTTGTTCAGATTAGGAAAATGTTGCAGTTATCAAAACCTTTAAAAGAAAAATCTGAAAAGTGTACCGTCCATTTTTTATTCATCTTCCTAAAATACGTTTAGCCATCTTTTGCTTCCTTCAACATTCCAGTTAAAAGCATTTTCCTCTCAGATTAGTTCACCAGGACAACATCTACAAGTCTGCTGTCTCCAGCTAATCTTTGCTGCTGCGCTATGAAAGCCCATTGTTTTCATTGGATTCTATTAAAGACCATCAGAGTAAAGGATCCTAAAGGCAAACGCATGCCATACTTTTCAGATATTTCTTTTGTTTTTGTTTTTTTGAGTTTTTACGGCACTAGTGACTTGTTTTTTCGACAGTAGGCTGACAGGAAAAGTGGGTATGAGAGAAGGGGAGAGACATGCAGGAAAGGACCACAGGCCGGATTTAATTTGGTGTTCGCCTGCGTTGATGACAATAGCCTCCGTAAATGGGTCATGCGTGCTAACCACTGCTCCACCTGCACGCCCAGATATTTCATTTGTATCATTTACCTTCCACTTATCAATCGATTATATTGATAGTTCACAAAAGGGATGCAAATACTTCCTCAAAAAGACTAAAATAAGATGACCAAAATGTGTGTTTAAAAAAAAAATGTAATCTGAAGGACCAGCAGCAGAGACCAGTACCTGAAAACATTTCCCCCTGGGCTGTGTAGCCCCTCCTCACTGCCGTCTGGACCACAGTCTCTATGTCGATACTGATCTGTGGCTGTCGCAGGTGAGCAGCCATCCAGAGAGCCACCAAACCACACCTAGAATATGAAAATGTTTAAGGCATGGCGAATGTTCACCGACTCGTATTTAAAATCAGCCATTATGGAGAAACAACACTAGCACCTTTGTGTTCACTAGCATGCTGTATGACAGATAACTCAGTAGGATGAAAGCTGAGGCCAGCGTTCAGTGACTTACTGGGGGCCATCTTGGATGAGGGAAGGCACGTATGTGTTTACCAGTAACCACTGCAGATCCTGCCTGAAGCTGAGGAGAAAACATGGCATCAAATAAAAGACAAATAAATTTTAAGCACAACTTGGATAATAGTTTTTAAGACTATTATCTAATTTGTCCCTGATCTTTACTTTTTTGACTTTGTTCCATCCTGTCTGCAGTTATATTAGGTTTTATGTCCATGAACAGTCCCAATAAATATAGATTCTTGCTTTTTTGTGTGTTTTCAAATCCTCTTGCCAACATACTTAACCGTAAAGTACTGCAGTCATAATAAGATACTGAGTCTAAGGGTAGTAAAACTATAACAGGGTAAGGTAAAGGAGGGAACCTCAGTGAAATGACTGTTACAGACAGTTGCAGGAGCATCCAACGGTCAATCAAAGACTGGGAGTGATAGTCACCAGAAATACAGTTTAATACGACACTCATGTGTTACCCCACACCCTTAGTACACTAGTGCAGCATGACTGCTTGGATTCAGCCATGCCCACAACGTGACCCCTACAAGCTCAGTCAGTGGTCCCTTCACTCTCTTTGTCAGTGAGTTCACTCAAAACTGAAACAATCCTTGCTAGCAGGAGTTATGCACTCAAATTCTACAATATCAATCTCACTTTCTTTCTTTCTTTCTTTCTTTTCGAAATTAAACAAAACACTCACATTTGGCATGAGTAATAATAAAAATGCATTATAGTTCCACAAAGAGTTTTGAAAGAAGTTTAGACAAACTTATCAAGTCCAAAACCCTTCAGTCAGGCAAAATTTAAATTCACCATTCACTGTGATTAGAACAAAAATCTTGACACAACACATCATGACAAATTGTAGTGTGCAATAAAAGTGTAATACAAATGTACATAATAATAACAACTTTAAACTATTTTATAAATTAACAAAGTATACCAACTATACACCTAACACAAATGAAATTTGGAATTAGTTCTCATCACCGGTTTTTATATATATCTTAGATACTATCTGCTCTCTTTCAATTGGAAAAGCTTTTGGATACTAATTGGCACTTTTAGAAGTGTTGTGATAGTGACAGAGTATCTGATTGCAAAAGTTCATTTAGTTTTTTCTTTAAACATCTCCAGATCAGTGCAGGAGCAAATATATAACTGGGGGATTTGTTTGTCCTCATCAGAAATCTCACCAGCCCTCCCTCTGTCTGAGAAGCAGGCATGCCTCGGTGTGATCCCCCTCCACAGGAGCACTGCTGCTGGCTATGGTCTGGTACAGCTTCTTCTTGGCTGCTGGGGGTGGAGGAAGCAGAGCTGGGGGAGGAGGTGGAGGAGGAGGAGGGAGTGACATCTACAGCTTCTCCACCACAAAAGAAAGAAAAAAATCATCATGGGGATATTTTTCATCGGTGTATAGAAGCTAAGGAGTATTTCAACAAACCTGCCCCAGGTTCCTTTAGCCTGGCACGCTGCTTTGGTCTAACTTCACAGACTGTCAAAGGAAGCAGACTTCCCCCTGTGTTCTCCCCATATTCGGAAACAACCACATACGCTTCTTATTCCTTTAGTTTGGTTACGACTTGCAAGCAACCTTTTCATGCATTACCGCCACCTACTGGGATGAATGGGTACATTTGTGTATTAAGGAAATACTTTTAGAACCTATATTCTCCTTTGAACTTATTTATACTAACTGTCACTGACGGCGAGTAAACTTTAAAGGAATAAGCTCATCGGTTTTCGAAATACAAGATAACAAAACGTTGTACTTTACGACAACAACCAATAACAAACTTTAAAAGTGTGACGCGTGATGGATACCCCGGAAGTTGCTTTTTGACCGATAACGCGAGAACAAATAACGCGAGATTAGTATTATTTATTTTATTTTTTCAGAGGATGATTTTTGTTTCCATTATTATATGTAAATGTTGTTGACTTAATAAAAAAAAAGAGTCTTGTTTCCCTTTTCCTTGTTTTACTCCTTATTCGTTGGTGGCGGTAGTGCACTTTTAACTAGTTGGCCAACCGTCATAAAACCTCACAAGAAGAAGAATAATTAATAACGCGAGAACAGAATACGGGATTTCAGAAGGCCGGGGTTTTCATTCATCGTTTGGAGGTGAATATTTCGGCTACATTCAGCTTATCAATTATTACGAATATTTGAGATAAATGCTGTTTTAACTAAGGTATTTGCAGATTCGCGTTTGCTTCGTATGCATTTATGATAAAACTAGAAGTTAATATTGAATTATAGGGATTGATTATGCGAAAAATGTTGACCTAGCTTATATAGCTAAGAGGCTAACACGCCGGATGATTGTTTGCTAATCTTCGTTAGCTTCGTTTCAATTCTTTGTTGAGCTTCGGATTGTCTTAAAATGTTGAAATTCGGTTTGATTTAATTCCAGGTGATCGCAGATAGACCGTAAGATGACCACTCCAGAAGTTCGGCCTAATCACACTATTTACATCAACAACCTGAATGAGAAAATTAAGAAAGATGGTGAGTTTCTACCTTAACAGCCTTTACTGAATACTTGCACGTCGAATAAACCCACTCATGCCTTGTTCTGCCTTCTCTTGTTTACACAGAGCTGAAGAAGTCGCTGTATGCGATCTTCTCCCAGTTTGGGCAGATATTGGACATCTTGGTAGCACGAAACTTGAAGATGAAAGGTCAGGCCTTTGTTATCTTTAAAGAGATCAACAGCGCCTCAAACGCCTTAAGGTCGATGCAGGGGTTTCCATTTTACGATAAACCCATGGTAAGTGGACCAGAATCACAGAATAACGGCCTGTATCTGGACCTTTTATTCCTCCTGATTGTTACTATATAAAAAAAGAGCCCTTTAAGTATCCTCTGACAAAATGTAAAGAAAAATGTTGACCTTACCAAAATCCACCAAATGTTTGAACAAAATAAGCTTGTTGCCGTCATATTTGTATGTTTAATGCATCAATTCATGTTTTCCCCTTCATTCCCATCACCTTAATGTTCAGGTTAAAATGTATATAATCCGTGGATATCTTCTCAAAACATCTGCATGCTAAACTAAGGGTACAAAAAGGCGATGTGGTGAAAATACTTTTCTTTTAAAATGCTGCTTTAGTTCCTGCAACCTCCTCCTCTTGTAACTGTCTTAATGATCAACGCGAACTGAACATCCCTGGGGTTTTTTTTTGTTTTGTTTTTTTTTACAGTGTTTTTAGTCACACAAATAAAATATGTACTTAAATGCAGACTCTTTAATTTATGGAGTATTAGGGCCAGGCTAGATATTTTTTTATTTAAATACGAGAATAAGGTTGTAACATTATGAGAATAATGTTGCAGCCTGATGAAGGCGCGACATTATCAGAACAAATAATAATAATTATTATTATTTATATATATATATATATATATATCAATCATAATTTTCCAAGAATAATTTCAAAATTAGGAAAATAAAGTAGTATATTATGAGAATAAAGTCGCAACATCATCAGAAATTGTGTAATGTTATGATTTTATTCTTGTAATATTAGAGCTTTATATGGATAATGTTGCGACTTTGTTCTCCTAATATTATGACTTTACCTCAAGCCCTCTGGCCCCAATACGGCAATTATCTTGTTTCTTAAAGAGATTTCATCACCCCAAAGCAATCTTGATTTGTTTGAAAGAGTGATGTAGACAAATAGCAGAAGGGACCTTTCCAGCAACATTTGTGTGATTGCCTTAACAACTGATGAGCTTGGAAACACAGCTTGAAGAACAACTCACCCCAAATATCTTTTTTTTTTTAATAAACTTTATACTTGGATGACTAATTGCAATGCCTATATATCCCAGGTTTTATTTTGACAATATACTGGATTGGGAAATGGTGGCCTAGAGCTCGGAAACCTGAGATTGTGAGTTTGAAACCTAGTCCCACAGACTGCCACTCTGGGTCTCTGAGCATCACCCTTAGCCCCCCATTCCTCCCTGGGTGCCCCACAATGTTAGCTCACTATTCCCGAAGGGGATGGGTTTAATGCAGAGGTATATTTCTCAAATTTGAGATCAATAAAGTTAAATTATTTATTTTTGTTGCAGTGCAGGTTTTGTGCACATGTTTGGTGCTCTTCTGGTGTGTAACGAGTTCTGATCCTGAATTACAGTAGTAGCCATTCAAAATTTCCCCACTTTCCTTGATGGACCCTTGGCTGGTCCCCATACAATTCTTTTTTAAACATCTAAAATATTTTTTCTGTCATGATTTGTGGACATTAAGATCTAAAGAGAAGCGTTATCTCCTGTAATTCAGTGAAAGGGTGGTGCCAGAATGAAAATATATGCATGCCCAGGAGAAGGCCAGTGGCAGTGAATTGGAGGGGAATTTGCTGCCATTCGTCTGCCTTTTGACTGGGAAGGTCAATCTTGAATGGCTTTTACTGTAGTATTCATTTTGGCTTTCAGGATATTGTAATGTCACCCACATTAACAGACCTCAGGAGCTCTGCTGCTGATGGGTTTAAAAACAGCTTACCTGTAGTCATAGTGAGTTGGAGCGAGTCTAGATACAGACTGTTGATCTAACAGATTAGTCTAGGGTAGACTTAGTTTTCAAAACACAGACAGCGAGTTTACTTCCTTTTAACATCAGCATTCAGCCACTTTTTGTCTATACCCTCAATTCCTGTTTCTTGTGAAGCTTCGCATGACTTCAGTCACAAAACTACTATCGCCATAGCAACAGTTACTTTCTAATGAATAAAAACCATAAAACATTTTTATGTTCCTGTAGCGAATCCAGTATTCCAAGACCGACTCTGACATCATTGCCAAGATGAAGGGAACCTATGTGGAACGAGACCGTAAGAAGGAGAAGAAGAAGCCCAAACCTGAAACGGGTGGAAGTAAGAAAGCAGCTGCAGCCATGGTGGCTGGCGTACCTGCAGGCATGCCGGTTGGTGAAACACTAGTCGGAAGTATCTTTAGTAGCAATGCTTCATACCTGCTCAAGGCGGAATGTATAAATAAATGAAACTTTTGTATTTTCCTCATTAGGGAATGCCTCCAATGAGCCAGGCTCCACGGATGATGCACATCCCAGGACAACCGCCTTACATGCCCCCTCCGGGAATGATGCCCCCTCCTGGAATGGCTCCTGGCCAGATTCCTCCAGGTGCCATTGCTCCTGGCCAGATGATGCCTGGACAGATGCCGCAGCAGGTAATGTTTTTCTGTGTTGATCCTCATTAAGACCTGATGTTACATTATCACAGTGGTCTCAGCTAAAATGTTGATCTTCTCTCACAGGTTTCAGAAAATCCCCCCAATCACATCCTCTTCCTCACAAACCTGCCTGAAGAGACCAATGAACTCATGCTCTCCATGCTCTTCAACCAGTCAGTTCCCGCTCTTCTTTTTTTCATGTTTGATTTTTCTGCAGGATTTTGTATTTACCTCTGTCGTCGCTCAGATTATTTGAGGCAGAACCTGACATGTGAGTGTTCTTTAGGTTCCCTGGGTTTAAAGAAGTGCGTCTGGTTCCTGGCCGTCACGACATCGCCTTTGTGGAGTTTGAAAATGAGGTCCAGGCTGGCGCTGCACGAGATGCACTGCAGGGCTTCAAGATCACACAGACCAATGCTATGAAGATCTCTTTTGCTAAGAAATAGCCTACCTTACCGGTCCTGGGTTTGAATGCTTTCAGAACTTTTTTTTATTTTTTTGTAAGACTTGCTGACTTTTGACAGTGATACTTTTCTCCTCTTCGGGGATTACCATGTAAGTATACTTTTAAACGTCAAGCTGCTGTGCTTTAAAACACTTTATTGGCAGAAAACCTGTTGATAAATAACAGATTCAAGGTTGTGAATATATAAACTGTCACAATTCAATTGGAAGTTCTGTTAATCTCCGATCTCACAGCAGATTGACGTTTTTATCGTTTTTATGAATCAACTGTTAAAGCATTGCACCCAGGGTCTGGGCAACCAGACATTGTACCTGGAGCTTTTTTCCTCTCTATTTTTGTTTAATTTTTTAAATAAAAAAATATGCAGTTACACACCAGTTGCCTGCGTCAGTCTTTCAGTAAAATCTCTTCTTTGAGCCCTTGTCCCTCATTAGTCCCAACTGTTTCGAATGGAAGCAAACCATTATAAATACACATATCAGAGGAATTTGATCATATAGAAATATTCAAAGTAATCTGTACTAATTTCCTTATCAATCCCACAGATTCTGTTTTAAAAGTATAGTGGAGGATTGTCCTCGCCACTTTAAGGAAAAAAAAGCATGCACAATCCTGAGGTAACACATTAACCGTGTACGAGAGCATGCACAAGCCCATTTCTCATCTTGCACGCTCTGTTTAAAAGTTGCTGTTCTAATTGCTCATATAAAATTACTTTCCAAAAGTTTTCACTTTTTCCACTATTTCAGACTCGCAAGTGAAAATGGGGACAAGCAGGTAGGACGGCCTCAGAATGATTGACAATTAAGAGGACCACTTATTTTGATGATCCACCGGGGAAAAAGGACATCCTCCACTATACCTTTTTAAGAAAGAATAAAACTATTCTAAATGTAGACTCGTGAAAATATTTATATGAATGTATTTTAATTTATTTTTTGGTAATACGTTAATCCTACTGGAGTAAAAAAAAAAACTTGCATTAAACATTACCATAGAAAACATTTGAAAAGACTGCATTTTTTTATGCTTTGATTATTTTGTATTTTTATTGTAAAGTAACACTGTGTCACCTTTGACCAGATTATTTGCTTAATTTTGGTTATAACAGATTTTTTCTCTCAATAGACAGCACTTGTGTTGGTCCTCCTTGCAGGCTGCTCTTCTCTAAAACTCGTAGCTGTGCTTAAGTCACATACACTCATTAAATGAAATGACAACCACAGTAATTAAAATAACAAAAACAAATTGTCCCAGACAAATTAGAGTTCTTAACTCATGAACCGTTAACCAACATACCTGTTAACAGGTGCAGAAGTCTGAACATTTCTTGACCATTAAAGAAAATGCCTGATTACACTGATTGCCTCAGTTGTTGCTCAACACAATTTGTTCAGGAGTTCCATCAGGCTTGTTTTATTCATATATAGAAAACTCTGTTGAACCACAAGTCAAAGTTAATTTTACACATTCCAATTAAAAACATTTTCATTTCTTCTGTCAATTTAATTTACCGGCTGCTGTTTTTTTTTTTTTTCATCTTTAATCTGTTTTACACCTGTATCATTGAAAAACAGGGTTGAGGAAAAACTACATAACCTCAAGAGGAGGGTGAATATAAACCTACCATTAAAAAAAAAAAAAGAATTTTACATTACATTGCTAAAAATATCTGCACTTTCTAAGATGTGAAGCCAGAACTAGAATGAGATTCAGTGGTTTTACCCATTGGCTGTTCATTTTTGTTTAAACTTTCAAGAAACTTTAGATGTGTAAATAATTTAACACATCAATAATAAAATCGGCACATTTCCTTCAAGAAGTAACACAAATTTGAGAGATATTACTTAAAGATAAAAGGAACTCAAGGTAGATGTATTCATTTTTCTGTCCCTCTGAACAGTTAGTCTTTCTAGAAGAAATGAAGATCATATTAAGTATGGTGCTTCTCTGCTGACAAAGGCTCATGAATGACCTACCTCAGACCCTAGAATACACATTTTTGAGGTGTCATTGAAGCATCTTGTTCAAATTGGCATATCAGGGAATGCCTTTAGTTTATTTCCAGAAACATTAGGAGACCTATTAGCCTTATGATGTAAAGTCACCCCAAAGGACCTCCTCTTTCTCGAAAAGGCCAGATTCATGAGCTCCTGACAGGAATGAAGATGTGAATTAGCTCTGAAAAGCCTAATTTAGACTGGCAGTGTGAGCTCTTCCCTGTGCACACACAGGGCCTCCCTGTTGTGGACGTAAACTATGCCCTGGGTAATTGTCTGCAGGTCAGACCAACAAGTGCAAACACAAAAAAACATCACATTCTTCTGCAGTTTCCCAAGCCTTTCCACACGCCCTTATTTTGCCTTGAGAAAACGCTGACCTTAGTCACCAGGGCGCCATATGTGGGCGTGTGTGTGTGGGGCATCGGCTTGGAAACATGACTTACCGCTCTGCAGAAGAATAATCTTTCTGTTACTGTGAGTGAAAGGAGACGTCAAGTTGCACATTGTTTGAAGCCAAAACTAAGCTGATTTGCTGAGTAAAAGTCAGACTTATAGAAAGGAATGTTTTGTTTAAACCTTTGGTGACGCACCAGGCAAACCTTACCTACTCTCTGACTGCTTCCGATTTGGGTCACGCCCTAACATGACGAAATCAATTCTATAGACAGAGACAATCAACCAGAGAAAAGTTCTGAAATGATTTGATCTATTAAGGGAAAATTATTGTCTCCTAACTAAATGACTGGCCACACCATGCAACAGGATCATCCACTTTATTATCTTAATAATAATCCTTCTGCATCACTATGGCGGTTCAAATGGGCTGTTCAAAGGGGTCATGCATCTCACTTGGGTTTGGACTTTGACTTTAACTAGGCCGCTCGCAAACATTTTTCCTTCACCAGCTCCTCATTGGAGCTGCTGGCAGCTTGAGGTTGCTTTCCTTCAACATCTCTTATGGTGACCTTGAACTCATTGTCACCAACTTTTAACCAGTCAGTATCCTTCGATTGTTAAGATTAAGAACAAAATTCATGGTTCTAACATTTCCTGAAGGTTATCCAGGTAGTCTCAGACCATTAAACTTCCAATACCATGACGTTTTTTGTATAAATTTAGAAACTGTAAATTCACTTTCCCCCTTCATTGACCTGCCACCTTCACATGGCAGAGGGTTTTCTTTGCACTTAATGTCTGCCTCAGTGTCCCAGTCAGCTCTGAGTGGGACAGATCTCTGAGCTGCCACATTGTTATTATAAATATTGGGAAGTGAAAAGAATTAGAGGCTCTTACAATGATCAATAACAACTATGCATTCTGGTCTGGAGGGAGTTGTCAGTCCACGTGGTTTTCCCAAGAGTGTTTAATACTAAATGGATTCATAGTATAGCACTGCTTGTTTTTAAACAATAATTGTGAATCAAACAAAATAGGATAATAATATCTTTTTTTGTTTATTCTTTTTAAGTAGCTAAAGAATAAAGACACAGAGAGTTTAGGTTTGATGAAAAAAAAACATTTCACTGAGAAATATCATGAAAAACTTTGATAAATTATTTTGCTTATTCTAATAAAAATCTTTAAACCAAGATAATCACAAAACTGATGTAAAGTAAATTGTCTTGAATTATAATCCAGTCGTAGGATCCTAAAAACACCTTTATTCATTTCATCTGTGAGAGCTTTCCAAAGATTGAATTAACATTGGTTATATAAAATGTTCTTTCATGCTTGCTGTTTACTGCCTTTTTACTGCTGTCTTTTCAGCCCTATATTTCTCTTCATGATGAAACTATGGTCATTTGTACTTTCAAAAAAAGAAAAAAATATTTACAGAACAATCAGTTGTTTTCCACTGAGTATCTGAGCAATTAGTAAATATTTACCTTAAAATACTTTCTGAAGAAACTTTAAATTGTGGGGTTTAAATGTAACCTAAAGCCTAATCCTTCACATTTATTTTTACCCTAATCTTTGCTCTTTTCTATCAGCGTTAAATTTTCATTTATTCAAAACAGTATACATAAAACAGTATGTTTTACTTTGAGTAAAAGTGTGTCTTGTTTAATTTGTTTAGCTAAAATAATACCACACATTCCACAAACTGTTAAGGAAAAATGAAAACATGAAAACCTAATGTCATTTTGGGGTTTCGTGCATCTTTTTAAATGACATCTCTAAGTCTTTTGTCAGGTCTGGGGCAATTCAGAAAACATATAGGGTTGCAGCCATTGTTGGTTGCAGTCATGTAATCCTTTTTTCTTTGTCACCTTTCTGCTCCTCTGTCACAGCGCTGCTTCATCTCTCTCGTATCAGTTCTCTCCTGCTGCTCACATGAAAGGCACATTGCTTCTCAGGATGTTTTAGGTGATGGGAAGCATCAGCCTATTTTGTTATGTGGAAAGGGGGAGGTGAAGCTGATGGTGTATTGTGTCACAATGTTTTGCAAATGCTTTGATGGTAAATTACATTTTATTAATTTCAATCATGCATAATTGAATATTCCAGGGGCGCCGTTTTGTGGGTGGGACTGGGGGCCCCAGATGGATTCCTACTTTGCCTATATAGTAAGTCTGCCTCTGAGGACACCCTAGGCTGGAGTTTGATGATTGTCTTTAAAGTCATATCTTGAGGTGCATATCTTGGATGCTCAGGTAAAGAGAGTAGTGGACTTGTCCATGGATCACCCCCTGGTGGAGATTTGAGTTAAGTTGAAAGAGAAGGAAGCCGGACAGAATCTGCAGGCCTAAGTGAGTGGTGAGGGTCTGCTGTAAATGTCTGGCGAAATTCTCAGTCAGGGACATATATATATATCTCCCCCCTCCTGGAAGACTATGTCAGATTCCAGAGGAGGCTGAGGACATGGAGTATAGTGGACCATGTTTTCTAGCTCTATGATCAATGTGGTTCTCTGTAGCTTTGCCCATAAGGTCTGCGGTGCATGTTGTGGCTGCAGTCCCCAAACCTTGTGGTAGACACTGGCAGTAAGATACTGTTAAGCTGAAGAAGGAGTCCTGTCGAGCCTGGTTGGCTTACGGGTCCTGAGGCAGCAAGCAGGTGCATTGAAGCTGAAGTTGCAGAGGTGAAAACTCAGGCCAGGAAGAAGTTTGGAGGCAATACCTGATGGCCTCAAAATGATTCTGGCAAACAATCTGGCACCTTCAGAGAGGGAAATACTTCGATAACAGTCTTTAGTGGAAGTGGGGAGCAACTGACTTTAACTGAGGACACTTGGTGGAAGGAATACTGATATGCCTTCTGTGGCAGGAGAGTCTGGGTGCTCAAGGCAGGACTTGTTTATCACCCAAACTATAGCCATAGAAATAGTCAAAAGTACCTTAGGTTTCTGGATGTTGCTGAGCTTTTATGATTGACACTCCTTTCCAACATTGAATAGAAGTTGAGGACAGTGCCCCTGAACTAGCAGACTGGGTTGGCGTTCCCCCTTCGAAGAACAGAAACTCGAAGGTATCTTTCATACACAGAGAGATCACACTGCTCAGGCTATCTTGGAATACCTATACCAAGATGCTGGAGAGGAGGGTCCAGCTGACGGTTGAACTTCAGCTTCAGGAGGAGCAGTGAAGTTTTCATCCTGGCGGTGGAACACTTGACCAGCTCTACATCTTCTGTAGGGTTACGGGTTTATGGCAGACAATGTCCCTGGACTGCCAGACTGGAGGTGGGATTCAAACATGTTCCTAGTGGTAGCCTCTACTCAAGTGGTCTCCAACCCTGGTCCTCAAGATCTACTGTCCTACAGATTTTAGATGCATCCCTGCTTCAACACAGCTGAATCAAATGATTGATTACTTTTTCAAGCCATTCATATGATTCAGCTGTGTTGAAGCAGGGATGCATCTAAAATCTGTAGGACAGTAGATCTTGAGGACCAAGGTTGGAAACCAATGAGTACAAAGTAGGAAGCTGTTTTAAGGGGCCAGAAGGTCACTGTACAAGCAAAGCAGAAATGTGGTCCACATTGCCAGCATTGAGTCTGACCTGTTCCCAGTACATGTTTTACTACTGTAGAAAATGGACAGTTCAGATTCTTTATGGACATGATTTCTAGGTACAGCCATGGGGAGAAGGGGGTGTGGTTTTAGGTTCAGGAGATTTTGTCTGCTTTTTGCATAAGACATCATTCTCCTCCTCCTGCCAAGAACCACAGCATGATCTGGGGTGGTATGTAGCTAAGTGTGAAGTAGCCAGAATGAGGTGCAGCTCTACCAAGGTTGCTTGCACCATTCGAGTTGGAGGAGAAGCCTTGCCTCAAATCAAGTAGTTCAAGTACCTTTGGTTCCTGTTAATGAGTGAGGGGAGAATTGAGCAGGAGATTGATAGACAGATCAGTGCGGCTGCTGCTATAATGCTGACACTGAACTAGTCCACTGGGGGAAGAGACAAGTGAGCGAAGAGGCAGTTCTGGATTTATCGGTTGGTCTATGTTCCTAACCTCATGTATGGTCATGAAATCTGGATTAGAATCAAAAGAACAAGATCTCAGCCATAAGAAGCTGAAATGAGCTTTCTCTGCAGGGTTCCAGGGCACTCCCTTAGAGATAGTGTGAGGAGCTATGTCTTTCAGGAGACACTTGGAGTAGAGCCGCTTCTCTTCCATTTTGAGAGGAGTCAGCTGAAGTGGCTTCGACATCTTCTCCAGATGCACCCTGGACGCCTCCTTTGGGACGTGTTTCAGTTGTTCTAGGAATGTCCCATGGGTGAAAAGCCCCAAGGGACAGCCAAGGACATGCTGGAGATACTGTGTCTCACAGCTGCCCCAGGCTCCCGTCAGAAGGGCTAAGGCGGGTGTGTTGAGAGGGAAGTCTTTTAGTCTCAGAGACTGCTGCCCTCATGAATAAGCAGAAAAAGGCTTTTACTAGTACATACTACTAAATTGGCTTTTAAAGCTTCTCTTGTAGTAATGTCTTTGTCCCCCCTTCATTTTGTTCTGGTGTTAATACACCAGCTCTAGGATGTAGAACAGTATCTTACCTGAGCTCTGAGATGGCTGAACATTCTCATGACATTTAGGTGTTTGAACAAATGATTGGCACCTGCAAGCATCTAGGCAGTTTTTTTTTTTTCTTTTAGTGAAGCTTAAGTAGGTCTTCATATCCATAATGGCATACAAGGAAGCAGTCTGTTTGTAGGGTTTGTTTGGAAATAAACTGACCAATTAGAGGCATGACATCATCATCTGGGCTTTTTTATGTTTAAAGACATGGTAGGCTTAGTAAATGCAAATGTTTGGAGGGGTTAAAAATAATATCTCTCACTAGTAAAGATTTTCAGGGAAACAGAGGCGATTCTGGAAGTGCAGAAATAATGAAATGCCATGTTGGGAATAAGACTGAAGTAAGGGTGCAGATATATAGGCCAAAAATGAATAGTTTTACTGCAAAAAAATCTGTGTTCAGAAACAGTCATTTTAATTCTTCAAGGTCTAATTTTTAAAACGAGAGCTAAGGTGAATCTTCTCTTACTTAAGAGACAAATCCATAATGCCATATGGTCCCGACCCTCTTACATCCCCCTCAAAAACCATTTAGTGACCACGAGATGGCGCCAAATGCACAACCCAAAAAGCTTGGGTTAATTTCTCAAAGTCTATGTTTTGTTTTTAACAGTCTCGCTAAGGTAAGCGACGGATCATTAGAGTCTGAGAAAAAATGCGGTGTATGTGTTTTTAATTCCAATCATGTCTGCATGGCCCTGCTTTCCACTTGCAAATCAACGATCTTCCCCTCAACAGGGCTCTGTTCCGCTCATGGGGTCACTGCAGCGCCAGCCGCGGAAACACCAGCGGTTGTTAGGGAAGTTTCTTGAGCAACAACCCCGTGATAGACCTTAAGATGAAGGCGGGGTGAGGGCGGCAGAATCTCATTAGATGGCCCTCCGATGAAGAAGGAACATTGTGTGGGGGCCTTGAATCCAAGAAGACGCACACACTGGAGGTCAGATGTGGAAAATATGCCATGTGACGAGTGCCAATGTTCAAAAGATGCCTTCACACTCCACAACTCCCTTTTATATTTATGCGCTCAGCCGGCTATGGGGAGGACGGTGGCGTCGTTGAGCAGCTGCATGCAAACAGCAGGATACAGCTGCAGCTGTCGGAACAAGTTTAATCACCATGCCCACATGTGAGGGCCATGTTGAGAGGAAATAATGCTGCAGGTGGAGTTTGACTGTCCTTACTGAAGTAGTAGTATGCATGGTCTTAATTCTAAAAGGCCAAAGATTTAAGAAATCACTGCCTTTAAAACATTCAGTTTAGTGTGTCAGAATGTAACACAGGCCAGACTAACCTACTTAGTCATGCATGATATAGATCACCCTAATTTCAATGTATTTTCTAAAGGTATATTGCCAGAAGAATAAAATGTACAAAAAAAGAAGATATATAATATATATTTTTCTGGATTCAATGTAATATTATGAATAATAGCAGGTTTACTGGAGTCCCAACTTCTCACGTCCAAGTCACAAAATTGTTTTAAATAACCTTCAGAATCATTTGTTTATGCATGCTCTTTCTTCATTTTATTGATAGAATTAAAGTTTTATGAATTAAAAATTTAGAATAGTACAAAAGTCCAGTTCTAGTTAGCCTAAATTTTGGACAAGGGGTTGCATCTGGTTGCTGTAAAGAAACAAATAAGAAAGTTCTTGATTTACCAATTACAACCTTTACCTTTGGAAGGAAGGAAGGAAGGAAGGAAGGAAGGAAGGAAGGAAGAAAGACATAAGGGAAGGATAGAAGAAGGACATAAGGAAGGAAGGACGGAAGGAATGAAGAGGAGGAAAGGAAGGGAGGGAAAGATGCATTTAATTAAGGAAGGAAGGAAGGAAGGATCAAATGGAAACAGAGAGGAAAGGACGGACATAAGGGGAAGAAGGAAGGAAGGAAGGAAGGAAGGAAGGAAGGAAGGAAGGAAGGAAAGGAGAGATGATAGTCTAGAGATGAGCTTGTGACAAAACGTGGAGATGTTAAGAAAAGGTGTCTGAATATTTAAGGCTTCTGTGAAAGTGGGACATTGTGGAATTATTCATTCCTTTCTTTTTGTAGACATGGCACCTAGAGTGGAAAACCATTGTACACATTAAAAAATCCTGAACTTGGAGTAAATATGTTAACTTTTGTGTTTGTTTGTATTTGTTTTGTTTCTTTGTAAACAATCAGGGTCATAAAGGAGGTTCAGCTTAGAGGTCTGAAGAATGTGTTTTTTTCTCCTTTTCAGAGCCCATCCAATTTCATATCGAGCTTTGAAAACAGTTTATGTGTCCGGTGAAGCTTTGGAGTAAAACTGGAGAACAGAAGGCAGGTAACACAAAGGATTGAATGGAAACTGAAGTGGATATGGGCTGGGACAATCCCATGAGTAAAGGTGACAAAAAGAATAAAGGAGACTGCAGGTCGAGGAGAAGGAGCGGAGCGCTTGATGCGCACTGGAGACCTGAGGGATATTCCCTGCCGGACACACCCTCCCTCTCTCTCCCTCCCTCTCCCTCTCTCCCTCTCCCTCTCATTGTTTCCCACACTGACTCTGCCCTCCTCAGATCGAGTTCACTATCCAGCCATGCAGTGGTTTCCATGAGGACTGTCCAGAGAGAGAAACCATTTAGCCACAGAGATGCAACTTTTACACATTGCACACACTGGCTGAACATTTCTCCCTGCAGAAACAGCTTCTTTTGCCTTTTTTCTTCCGATGGATAAAGCCTGAGCCAGACGGGGAGATGAATAGAGAGTGTGCCGTCTAATTGGGATGAGAGTTCAAGTCAAGTGAGCAGGCAGATTGGACGTGAAATCCTCTTAACGTCGGCGGTGACAGGAATATAGAGCAATAGGAGTGTGTTGGCACAAAGAGTGTGAATCCAGAAATCCAGAGAGAAGTTGATGAGGTGTGCGCATATTTGGGGCTGGTGGGTTTGTTAAGGCGCAGAGCGGGTTCCAATGTTCTAGACGGGATGAGGTTGCCTTGAGTTTGAGGGTTTGAGTCCAAGAGGAGACCTGCGCGCAAAGAAGAGGAGGAGTAGGAGAAAGGGAGGAGAGGTAGCAGGGGAGGTTGCCATCACCGCTGGAGCGCAGAGCGCGGTTCCAGATATCCATGACCGCAGGGATGGAGAGCACAAAAGCGCACAAGATAACACTGATGGACCCTGGGAATGGGGGCGAAAGGATCAGAAGGACGCACCTTCACCTGCAGCGGACTGTGGTTCTTCTCGCTGTCCTGACGGTGCAACCTCAGGTAAGCAAACGATTAAGGTCTATTTCGGGCGGCATGCCCTTAAACCCTCAGACTGAAATGTTGTCCAGTCTTAAATATACAGCCACTATTAAAGTCCACGCACCAGGAGCTTTCCCCGCCTTGTGCTGCCCTCTTTCTGCTCCCATGGCGATGCGCCCACCTGTTGTTTCAGCCCGCTGCTCTCTGTTATCCAAGGCAGCAGAGGCCGGGCGTGATCATTGTTATTAGAAATAAGATCAGAGATAAAAAGGCGTCTATCAGACCACAAACACACATCTTCCACAGGAATTAAAGCGACTATTTTATTTGTTTAGCGTTGTTAACATAGTATATGAATTTTAAAATACAAACCATTCTATAAAAATATATCTGCACCAAATAAACTGCTTTTTTCGTCTGATGTAATTTGATAAATTTCTGCTGTTCAGTGGACTATAGATAATACCACCTTAATTACCCACCACACCTCCTCTGGTGTTCACCTCACTGCTTCATAAAGGAGCTCTCAACTTGCATGGAGGGTTTTTCTGCACATGAATTGTGCAAAAGTGCAAATCACAGATCTTTACACTGTTTTTTTTTTTCTTTGCATGTCATAGCTACATATGGCCTATTTTTCTATTTCCTTTAGAGCATCCTTGTGAGGTGTAAGGATAATAAAATGTTTTAATATCTGAAGTTCTCAGAGGTTTGTTAGAGAGAAATTGGCATTATGCAGACTAAGGAAAGAAGTAGGCCACTTAGAGAGGAGAACGTGGAAAGGTTTAAAGCAAGTTGGCTTAAAACAAAAACACATAAAAAGTTTTACAATCTCTGATGGATCTGTTCAAATGCAACATAAAAAGCTACAAATCTGCTTAATCATGATCAGGTAAGGAGTACATCACTCAGAGAGGCTCAAAGTAACTTTGGAGCAGCTGGATAGAGCCACAGCCCAGGTGGGAGAGTCTGTGGGAAAATGATCATTTACTTATTTATCTAGTTTACTATAAGACAGAGGACAGAAATAAAACCATTTCCTTTAGTAAAGTTATGCCAAAATTAAACACTATAAGCTGTATATATATATATATATATATATATATATATATATATATATATATATATATATATATATATATATATATATATATATATATATAAAAGAACACTGGACACAACCCTTAACTCAACAGCCTCACATCGAAACATGGTGGTAGAGGAATCATGCTGTGCAACCATGCTTGTTTTTTAGCAGGGATTAGAAAGCTGGTCATAGCTAGAGGGATGAGTGATGAATCAAACTATTTTTATGAGCTGAAAAAACAGATTTAAAGACCAGCATGTATATGAATTCCTCAAATGTATGTATAATACATGACATGCATCATTTTTTCTTCCATTTCATCACTATGCTCTATTTTTCTCAGCAATAAAGTACATTGAACATGGTAATGTGGCAGAAGTGTAAACCATCAAGCGATGGGAATACCTTTGCAAGGCTGTATGTGCAGACATTTTTGCTTGGTTGTTTTGCAATCTGGATAGCATAAAACAACTGCCAGGAAAATGCCTCTGAGAGAAGAAAAAAACTCAAGAAAACACTGATTATCTTTGCACCTTTTACGCTGTGAGCTGACAGAATGGCTGTGATGTGTGACAGGACCCACCAAGCAGAGAGGTTCTCTTCTGTGTTAGTCTGTGCAGATTTTTTCTTTTTTTAAATTTTGCTCCAAACACTGAGCTCACAAACAGCATCTGTGCTCCTGGGTGTGTGGAGCAAAGGGCCACGGGCGAATGAACTCTGTGGCGTGTGAATGTTGAACATGGGGGGCAGCTCTGCACCTCTGCAGCCCCCCTCACAGCTGAGCAACAACACACATCTTCTTCTTCCTGACTGCACTGCAGAGTCAGGGTCCTCTGCAGCTATCCATGCCCCTATGTAACGCAGTGGAGAGAGGGGAGAGTTGGAACTTACTGTATGATCCACCAGGCAAGCAGTCCCTTTAGTCTCGTCTTCCCTGCATTATGCTTTTAATGTAGAGCTTAGACGAACTACCATGCTGTGTAATTATGGTTTGCAGAATAAGCTTGAGATGAGATTAGTGCTCCCTTTATTGCACATCTTTGAAGTTCATCTGTTGTAAATCGCACAAACAAAAGACATGAATGAGGCTCATGTTGACTGTTCATTTCTCCCAAATTGTAATTATCAGACAATTATTGCTCCTTTGAATATAAGGGAAAACATTTAGAAAATGAAAAATTTTTAAACTAAACAAGGAGATTATTGTAATATTCAGGAGAAAGAGAGGTGAAATCTGAAAAGCTGCCTTTTTTTCTCTCCTTTTTTTCTCTTAAATTTCATCTCATTAACTGTTAAGAAGTAATCAGTTGAAAAAACTGAACTAAATGAAGAGAGAAACTTTCTACAAAGAGAGGCAAACTGTAAAGTTTTATTTAAAAGCAGCTTTAAAGGCAAAATTCTTTACAAGAAGAAATGGAAAAAAAAGAAATCTTAAAAGCAAACAATACAACCCAAACATTACCAAAAAGAGTCATTTAAAGGATGAGATTTAAGCTGCATCTTAGACAACAACCACAGATATGAAGCTCAGAGGCTCCCAGAGTGTGGGGACACTTGACAATCCTCTGGCCCTTTGGCTGTATAGCCTTTTATGAGCTAACAGGTCCTGATGATACAGCAGGAGTCCTTATAAGTTTGCAAAGCTTTATAAATGAAAACCAGGATTTTAAAGAGGGCTTTGGTGTGTTTTGAAGTGCTTGCAATGGAAATAACAAAGCTGTAACATGTGAAAACTTGGAGAACTTAGTCAGAAGCCTCACAGAAATATTCTGAGCAAGCAGTAGGCGTTCCTAGGAGGTCTTGTTTAGACAAGTGAACAATGAGCTGTAGTTAGGCTTGAAGAAATCATACCATGGACATTTCACTTATCAGAAAGTCGACCAAAGGACCATGGTTACTCTGGAGGAGATGCAGCGATTCACAGCTCAGGTGGTAGAACCTGCTGACTGCACGGCTTTGCATTTCATGCTCCTCAGCATCTATGAAACAGAAGCATCTGATCTGATTGAGCTTGAGCTATTTTGCAAAGAAAAATGGTCAGAAATTCCGATCTGTAGTTATGCAAAGATGTCACCAACACATCCTGTGCCTTACTGCAGAATGCAAACACATGCTGTAGTGTGCTTCTCTGGGAGCTGTTTATAAAATGGGGGGGATCATTTTCTACCATCATTCTTCACTTTTTGCGCTTTGTTCACTATATGTGGATCTCCTGCATAAAATCCAGATAAATAGATTTTTCTGACCGTAAGGGGAAAAATTGCTAAACAGTGTAGGGGTATGAACACCTAATGGATGGAATACTGAGAAGGTAGCTTTTTTCTTTCTAAATCATGACATGAATCTTAAAAAAAGCATCTTAAGTTAACGGTTTCCTTCTTCCTTCATACTGTAAACACTCTCCTCTGCCTTTAATAGTCAAATGAAGTTCCATTACTCAGCTGTAAAATCTGTTAGGAATACATTTTTTTGTGCTACTCTCAGCCTTTACGTGCCGAGGGTCTCCTGCTGAGTATCCCGGGCCTCTGCTCAGACCCCTCTGCCTCCCTGTCTCTGTCCTGACTGAGCGCTGAAATGCTGGTATGCAGAGAATGGCTCCGGCAGCGAGCGGAGGAGAGGAAGAAAGGAGGATGTGGAGTGATGAGCGCCACTGTATCTCCGCAAGCCTTTTGATGTAGACAAGTCCACCCCCCCCCCCTCTATCTTTACCCCCACCCCCCAACCCCCCAAGGGACAGGGTGCAGCGGGGGGACACTCAGTCATTAACAATAGGCTAGTTTCGGCTCAGCTCGGGAGTGTGCTGCATATAGGTTCTTTGCTGGTTCATGCTTGTGTTCACAGCAGCTCTGTGGATTTATAGCCCTGATTATCTGAGTTACACAGCCTCAGTGGACCATTCAGGCAAACTGAGATTATGGTGGGTTTATTTTTATAAATGCTAAAATGGAAAAAAGAAAAGAAGAAGAAGCACACACCTTCGCTTGCTTACGCGCACATACCTGACCCTTCTGCTCTGGGAATCTCAGGGGGTCTTATTAGCTCCAGCATATGTGTATAGCTGTGTGCTTATCCCCTCTTTGTCAATAAACAAGGAGGCAACACTGAGAATAAAATAGATGACAGACAAAAAAACCAAGGAGCCAGTTGTCGCGGTCGGGAGAGAAATGACAGGAACATCACAGCTTTGCATTGTGAAAGAAGTGAGCAGGAGGAGGAGGAGAAGAATCCCATGTTCCCCCTGGGGACGAGAACATCAGGGAAGAAAACGAAGGGAGTGGTGTCCACACATAGAAGAGAGAAAAAAGGGGACATGGGAAACAAAAGGAAGTGGAGAGATAAACAGTTGGGGGATTATATGGCAAGAGTGTTGATGTGTCTGTTCATAATTTAGATGGAAAAGTTTGTTTTTTCTTCAGAAGAGGTCAGACAGAGTTGTGGGAATCAAAGTCGTATCCCTCTTTTTATTTTCTTCTGCTTTACTTCTCTCTCCGGCTGTCTAAGGGCTGGTTTCTAGTAACACAGTGAGGTTAGAAGAGTGAAACGTGGAGAACAGCAGAGGCAAGTGATAAATTATACATGGGCTCCCAACTTTTCCCTTTTACCAATACAAATCACAAACATTTTTCCTTACATCTATTCTCTCGATTGCTCTAATACCCCTAAATAATCCAGTACAAATACCTTCTGAATGTTCTCTCAAGGCCTCTGAGGTTTGTAAGAAAACTTCAGTGAACAAATGATATTACGATGAAGGAGGAACACTGCAAACCATTTGAGGAATAAGTTGAGATGTTTAAAGCAGATTTCAAGTATCAAACAATGTCCCAAAGAAGAGTGCTGCTCAAAAATGTGAATAAAATGAGAAGAAGTTTTGTCTAGAAATGATTTCCTTGCACTTAATCATTCCATATTAAATTGGTCTATCATTGAAAAATCCTAATAATACTTTCAGATTTGCAGTTGTTACGTCACAATATACGGAAAAGTTCAATGCGTGTTAAATGTGTGCGAGGTAAAGAGTAGCAGCATATTTCTCTATATGACAACACAGTGCCCCAGTTTTCTAATGGTGTCAAACATCTTTGGGATGCAAAAGCTCAGCAGGAGCTGAAGCAGCGGCAGCGGTGGCTCAGTTTGTGATTAGTGAGCATGCACAGCAAAGGTTCTCAGCAGGGGATCCTGCTTTGTTGAACCTCTCTAGGAGCTGTGCAACCTCACCAATAAATGAGTCAAAGGCTAGACAAAAAAAAATGCCTCAAAGATTTTAGTCAGCTTTCTGACTAAAGGAGTTAAAAGTTAACTAAAAGTGCTTAGAAACAAACTTTTCCTGCAATATTGCAAACGCTTGTGAGAATTTGCATGTTGTTCAGCTGAAATCCCCCCTCGTTAACACCCTTTTTTCCGCCCTCTCTTCCCTCAGGCCGTGTGCTCTGCTGGGATGTTCGAACTTCAAATCCGTCACTTCCACAACCCACACGGATTCCTGCAAACCGGAAACTGCTGCGACCTGCAGGCCAGCGGGGGACAGCACTGCTCTGCCCGGGACCAGTGTGACACCTTTTTCTACGCCTGCCTAAAGGAGTATCAGGCTCGAGTGGTCGCCACAGGAGCCTGCACCTTTGGGTCAGGCACTACGGGTGTTCTGGGTGGAAACTCCCATTCGCCCCGTCACCGAGGACACGATGCAGGAGGAGGAGGCGGGGGAGGAAGAGAGGATGGGACTCACGGACACATTTCCATTCCCTTCAAATATGCCTGGCCTGTAAGTACTGGGGGAAGTGCTTGTTACCAGTATGGTTACCAAGGGAACAGGGTAAGCTTCAAGTATAATACAATCCTCTCAAACCAAGCCTAGATTGGAGTGATGATAACCCCTCGCTGTCAGAGTTCAGATGATGTTGCTTTTCTATTACTGGGAGCCATTATAGCAGCTTTCATCACATGTGGAGCAGACAGCTCCCTTATTTCAGTTAAACATTAGATATTTAATGGGAGACACTTTCTGCTAGGAAACAAGGTCTTTCAACAATGCAGAAATCAGTTTCCCTGGAAAAAGAAAACCTTCATTTATACACAGACACACTTTTATAGACGGGCTTTTATTAGACTGTTTGTTTCCCCATCTGCACATGTAGTAAAGAGTCTGAATGATCTTTGTAATTTCAGGGATTTTTGTTGCTGCTGTTTTTTTTTTAATTAAAAAAATAATCCTATATATCCAAGCTCGGATGTTAAAGTCAGTATATGTGTCACATTTAAAACGGTGCCTTCGTTGGTAGCCTCATCTGCCTTTCATATTGAGCTTTAATTTATCCTTGGAAGCCCTCAGCTGTCATCTGCTGAAAGCCTCGTGTGGTAATGACCTCCGTTTCTGAGTGCCTCATCAGTGCATTTAAATGATAACATCAAATCTAACAAAATAAACCTCCTGATCTGTATGCCACTCAAATTCTACATGCAGATGAGTGAAAATAGATGCAAATTAAAGATTAAATTATCATCAAACCATATCGAACTGTTCGGATGCTGTTTTACAGCAGCTGTGCTCAGTTTACTATTTTTTAAACCTTCACATTGATACACTTAAAGCCAAAAATCTGAAATATTTTAGTGCCAAATTCTTGTTGAAACCCTCTAGATTTGATCAAGGTTTTGAACCCAGCCAGCAGCTAGACTTAAATTTAAGAAATAATCTGTGCAGGCAGCGTTATGGTGATGGTAATGAGACTTTCTAATCCTTTAGACTTGCAGCTCCTCACCAAACAGAAATGGTCAAAATAAAAGTGGAAACACACAGGAAGCTGGTCGGAAGTCAATAAGAGCTTTTCTATTGATTATTGAGAAAATAATTATTTGTTAATATAAGAATCAAAGAAGAGGTTTTTTTTCCATAATCATTTCAGAAACGTTTTGGTCGAATAACATTTAGTTATGCCAGTATAAGTTTGTCACATATAGCATAAGTACACTTTAACCACGATTATTGTACATATATTCATTTATAAAGATTATTTTTGACCCCCCCCCCCAATCTCAACATTTGAATTTAGTGTTTTTAATGTATTAAAGGATATTATTTGTAGCCTGGGTGCCAGTCCGAACTTAGTCCCGCCCACAAGGTTTGAGTTCGGGGAAGTTCGGTCTGGCTCTGCTCCATAGTAGCGCGAGTATTAAAGCCCACTGTCAGGCGATCCAATCAAATTGTCAGGGCGGGCTTTATACGATGATGGACAGATGATCAAGAGTAACGTTATCAACCACGTGACCAAAGCGCGCTTGGGTGACAACAATAATGGCTGCCGCTGGAGAGTTTGGGTGAGTAGATTCTGCTATTAGGTCTATTCTAGAAGATATCGACAGCAAATTAATTTTAAAAGAGGAACAGAGAAACGCGATCAAGTCTCATCTTCTTATTCTAGGCGTGAAACTGCACGCTTTGATTTTTGTGGACAACAACTATGCCTCGCTTAAGATACGTCACGCACTCCGTTGCTCTTATTGGTTGTAGGTCTATCCAATTGAGTGCAGAGGCATTTTTTTTCCTGGTTCGTTCGAAACACGCCCCATAATCACAGCTCTATGGAGCAGTATCAGACTCATATTCTGACTAGAATTGAGTCGGACTACGTCAGGCTATATTATTTGTGTAATTAGATAATAATTTCTCGCTGATATTGTCCTTCCACTAGCCTCTTTACATTATGTTGTCTGTTCTCTGTCAGCCTTCCACTCATTCAAATGTTGTATTCTTATCTTTTTACATTTTCTCCTCTGGTAGCTTTTGAACGGCATGCTTAGGGCTGCTGGACTTGACATCCTTCTTGAATGAAAGAGTAATTGAAAGCACACGAGAGCAGTTCAAAGGTTTAAGTGTGCTTTCTTCCCTCTGTTTTCTTATTTCTTCCCCTTTTATAAGTAAAAAAAAAAACAACAAAAACCAAATACAGCCACAGTGAATTAAAGAAATAAATGGTTCTTTAGCAGCTAATGTTAAATGAGTCAGTACTATAATTAGTTTAAACTCTTCTACAAAACATACCATGAGACAATTCCCATGACCTGAAACATAAGTAATTCATATTAGCATCAATTATCCAGAAGTGAGGTGATTTTCGGGAGTGCAGCATCCAAAACTAGCTCCAAAACAACAGTGAACGTTGTAGAGTTATGGATATTTAACCGACAAATGGATCTAGACATGAACAGAAATGCATTGCTTTCAGCTGATCCTGTGTCATGCATGCAAATTTGAACAGCTTCATGTGTTTTGGTTTGTCTAATCGAGAGCTTTAACTGTTTGCTACATTAATGTGACTTGCATCTTTTGTAGTTATTTTTTGGAAAGCTGTGGTACCAATTTGACCAGTACTGTCCAAGAGCGATTCTGTTGCATAATGACGTCCAGAAGGCTAAAGTCTGTCATGAAGCAGCGCAGCAGCCTGGATTATCTTTCATATGATAGAGCTGTTTCTGCAGACCTCCTGATAGGTGAAGGAACAGCAGCGAGGGGATAAAATTCAGCCATTTTGTATGTAGTCAGTGATCAGAATGGCTGTAAATTGGTCAGGGAGTTGTGTCCACTTGGATCTAACTTCCTTGCAGTCACAGTCATAGCCATGGGAAGTTTTTTTTTATATTTACCACTTCAAAGTGTGTACTCTCTCTCTAATCTGGCTGTGTGTACCCCATAGAAGTCTTCTCTCTTACGCACTACACTGCAGCAACCTCCTCATTTAAACCTGTTAGGACATGGCATCTTCTCGCTTGAGGTATACCACTCCTTGTTTTACCTTTCTTTTTTGTGGACATATCATTTTCTCTATCTGCCCTTTATTAGCACAATTAGTCTAATAAATTCAGTGCATAAGCTCCTGCTTCTTTGCTGAACGCTAACTATCCTTGCTGGTGTTTTTAAGGTGGATCTCTGCCAAAAACTAATCAGCACAACAATACCCGAGCAATAAACAGAGAGGGGGGTTAAAAGATCGTGGAATAGGCACTGTGTGGCACAGTCTATGTCTCACATATCTTATTTACTTACAATTCATGTTCGCTGCAAAACACTTTTTTTCCTGCCCTTTAAGCTCTAATCATTGTTTGTTGTAAGGATCTGTGTGATGTGGTTTCAGATCCAGAGGCAACATGTTTCCATTACTCCTCCAGACGCGTCTCAGAGTCTCTGTACTAAAACTGTTTGATTTAGTTGATGAGGATAAAGCTTCTTTTCCCCACACATTCCCCTTAATACACCTGCACGCATGGATGTAACACAGGACTGGCTTAGGTTTCCTCTCTGTGATTGGTATCAGCCCATTTACCTGCGAGACTAACTGTCCCAGAGCCAATTATCTTCCCTTATCTGTGTACAGTTTACATTTGAGTGTGCTGGATGCATGCTGCGTGAGCTTCCAGCTTTATCCTCCCGCTCTGCTCTCCTGGGAGGTGTGTGATTGGCAGGTGCGAGTGTGAGAAAGTTCTCCATGAGAAAGCCTACCTGTATCGGTTTCAGGGCCGCGCCGTGGGGCGGGCGGTGCAGAGATGTACTATGGCTGCCTCAGCTGAAAGGATGGCTTTATCTGGCCATCTCTGGGAGGCAGAGGGAGATGGAGGGAAGAGGGGGGGGAGGGAGAGTGATCCCCCTGCCCCAGGTGAGGGGATCAACAGGTGAGCGCAGTCATTATGAGGAAAGGTGAGCTCTCTCTGTCCCCTGCCCTGCCTCGCTTGTTCTTTCCCCCTCTAATCTCTTCAGGGAAATATGTGCATTTGCTTATGAATGAGAGCATGGTTGTAATTCGTTGTGTTGTATTTGTTTTGTCAGGACTGGCTGCCGTGTTTCATCCTCCTTAAGCTGTTGTGAGTCTGTATTGTTGTTATTTTCCCTTTATTTATTTATTTTTTGTCTGGTTTTGGATGTTAATCTATTACATTTTTTAGTTGCTTCCTGGAAATCTGTGATCTAATATGCAGCTGATGTTTTTTGACCCCCAGGGGGACAGACAGCCCCCAGTCTGGCTTTTTTTTTTTTTTTAAAGCTGAGATTAGACAAGTTCAAAGACTTCATAACATCAGTGATTTCTTAAAGCTCTGTCTCTGAGGGTATTAGCTCTGCTTTAAACAATAATGTCGAACAAAGCAAGCTGACATGAAAGTGCTAAATTAGATGCTGTTGAGCAGAAACAAATAAATCATGAGAAGCAGGCAGGTTGGAAGAAGGAATCAAAGTGTCTTGGGGTTCTGAAACCCTCTAAAAAGGTATCATTTTCTTTATATATGCAGATGCAGAATAAAAGTGTCCCCCTTAGTTATTTAATTGATCACTTGTAGTTTGCCTTCTTACAATTTCAGTTTTTTTTTGCCAATTATTCAGATCATCCATCAGCTTTCAATCAAAGACTGATATAAGTCAACTCTATACAAAAAATTTAATTATGGGAATAAGCTATCCAAACAGACCTGGTCCTATAGGAAGAAGTAATCGCTGGCTCACTCTGCAGAAACAATCGCAAGACTTTGACTAAGCTATCTGAAAGGTATCTTTTTTTAGCTATTCATTGTTAAATTTGCTAGTGTGATTTATATACAACAAATGCAACAAATGTAGATGAGCTTAAGATCATGAACTGATGGTCAGACAAGTACAGCAAGTCATCCCGGTTATCACGTGTCACACCAGCCCCAGACCATCACACCACCACCAACATATTTCCGTGTTGGTGGGGTGTTCCTTTTAAGAGCTTAGGAAATTAATAAATGTTTGGGTAAAAAAGAAACTAAAAGAAAGTTTACATGTAAGGTCAAATATTGGCCTACTTT